GGGAGCTCCACCGAAGGCCCCAGTGCCCGCGGCCGCATGCGTCACCCACACCCATTTCGGCACACCCCTCACACGCTTCGTGGCTCCATAGGGAGCTCCACCGAAGGCCCCAGTGCCCGCGGCCGCATGCGTCACCCACACCCATTTTCGGCACACCCCTCACACGTTTCGTGGCTCCATAGGGAGCTCCACCGAAGGCCCCAGTGCCGCGGCCGCATGCGTCACCCACACCCATTTCGGCACACCCACACGCTTCGTGGCTCCATAGGGAGCTCCACCGAAGGCCCCAGTGCCCGCGGCCGCATGCGTCACCCACACCCATTTCGGCACACCCCTCACACGCTTCGAGGCTCCATAGGGAGCTCCACCGAAGGCCCCAGTGCCCGCGGCCGCATGCGTCACCCACACCCATTTCGGCACACCCCTCACACGTTTCGTGGCTCCATAGGGAGCTCCACCGAAGGCCTCAGTGCCGCCGCCCGCATGCGTCACCCCCACCCATTTCGGCACCCCCCTTGCATTTCTCGCACGGCAGGGTCATCACCACGGTGGCGTGCCAGGGGCGCACCATGCGCGAAGGCGACGGGGCGGGGGAACGGCGCTCCGGGGGCGGCCAGACCTCCGGGGCGCGAGCAGTCCGCGGCCAGACCATCTCTCGGTCCTGTGGACTCTCGCCCTGGGCCGTCGGCTGCCCGGCGCGCTGCTCCCTCGGTCGACGTCGCCCAGGCGTGATCCTGGATTGCGGCCGCCACGAGGTAGGGAACGGCAAGAAGGAGGACGACGACTGGTGGCTGGAGCTCTACGTGCTGCTCTCGCGCGCCACGCGCCACGAGGACCTCCTGCTCATGCGGGCGCCGCGCATCGAGTTCTTCCTGGCAGGGCCGCCGCAGGGCTTGCGGAAGCAGCTGGAGCAGTTTGCTGCGCGCACGAAGCGGTGCAGGAGGGAAGCGACGGCCCTCGCCAGGGAGCTCGGCTTCACCGAGTTCATCCGCGAGGCCTGACCTGAGGAGCGTCTCCCCCGAGCCGCGCCTTCTCTCGACTGCCCGACTAATTGTTTGGCCTCGCGCCGCGGACGACCCGCGCGCGTCGCTGGGACCCTCTCGGGGCGACCAGCGCGCGTCGCGGGAACTCCGTGCTGCGGGGGGCCCGGCGCCTCGTTCGCCCGTCGTCGCTCTGCCCAGCGGTCAGAGACTTGCCCGCTATCAGCCAGCCAGTTAGCTAGTCAGCTCTCTCTGCTTCGCGCAGCGGACGACCCGCGCGCGTCGCTGGGGCCCCGCCCGGGGCGACCAGCGCGCGTCGCGGGGACTCCGCGCTGCGCCGCGCCCGCAGCCTTGGATTTTGGAGTGCGCGGGCAAAGAGGAAGGAAAAGAAGAGCCGAAAGCGGGCGCGAACCTCGCAAGAGGCGTGCCGACATGGGCGTCGCGACGTGCGGACGCTGCCGTCGGGGCTCCCGCGGAAGCTGCCTGCGGCGGCCACGCCCAGTGTCACGTGTGTTCGGACAGGCATACTCGAACCATTCACATTCATATACACTTACACGAGGCGTTTCCATGATCGCGTTCATGCAAATATATTCATTCGCGCACAGACCCATTCATACTCAGATTCCCTCGCGCTCTGACTCACCCGCGTTCTTTCTTTCGTAATCAGATCTATCGTATTCCTTTGCGTTGTGTACCCCGCCACATTTCGGCACACCCCTCATGCGGTTCGTGGCCCCATAGGGAGCGCCACCGAAGAAGATACTCACAATTGCGATACTCACAACTGCATATGGTTGGGTCCTTCGCCAGGATAATTTGTTTTTACATTTGGATGGGTATGCTGCTGCGGGCGTTGGCGTCTTGGTGCACGAACGCCACGCTCAGAATATTCGCCGGGTATGTGCTGAGGCCGGCCGCATGATCGGGTTATTGGGGAGAAGCACATACACATTTAGTTCCACTTATGTTCCTCATGCTGGTTTTTCTCTGGATGAGTTCACCGAGTTCTACGACCGGCTTGATAACATGGCACGGGCGGCCCAGAGGAGAAGAAGTCATGTAGTTATTGGTGGCGATTGGAATACTCAGTACAATATCGGCCCAAGGGGGCAAATATTGAACGAATTCGTAGCGTGCCATGGTTTTCAATTAGCAAACTTTCCGCCCAGCCTGACCCACGCAGACGCGTGGACATTCCGATCGAGTCTTGGACACACAAGGTGCATCGACTTCATCTTAGTGCCTGGCTCCACACAGGTGGTGGACAGTAGAGCGGTTGATCTCTTGAGCTTGGGATCGGATCACAGGGCTGTACTTGCACACTTGACTATGAGAATCCGTACCCGGAAGCGCCAGCAGAAGTGGAATCATCGAGGTTGGCAACCGCGTGATGATGCGGATTATGGTCATGATTTGGACGCTCACTTGCAAGACAGTCCGCCAGGTAATCTGTCCCACTTGGACGCGTGCTTGGCCGCCGTTGCACCGGGACACGCCCAACAGCAGGAAGAGCAAACATGTTTCTGGAATCATACTGCTTTCCAGGAGCTGTTGCGTCAACGTCGAGCTCTCCCACACGGGTCCGCAGCCAGACGGGACATGTCCAAACGTATTCGCAGAACTGTGCGTGCAGAGTTGCGGAGAAGAAAAGCGAGGCGCACCGAACAGATCCTCGGCGAGTTCTGCGATCTACATCGGCTCGCTGCAACCAAGTTCTTTCCAGCCCAAAGGAAGAAGGACGTAGTCGATGCACACAATGTCCTCCTGAATCTTTGGCGGGCTTCCTGGAGAACATATTCTCGTCTACAGCGGTGCCGCCGCCGGAGATGACGGACCAACGCGTGTTTACCAACATTCCCCAGTTTACCAAGATGGAGCTTACAAAAGCGATCCGGTCTTTGAACAATAAGAGGGGCGCCGACACGGATGGCATCGTCGCCGAGATGTTCAAGCACGCCTCCGATACATTTACCGATTGGTTATTGTTTTCTACAACAAGGTGCTGCTTACGGGCGAAGTGGAAGATTCTTGGAAAGACACGGTGTTTGCAATGCTTCCTAAGTCTGGGGATTTGGCACAGCCGAAAAACTGGAGACCGATAACCATTCTCAAGACAACTTACAAAATATTCTCCCGCATGCTGTACCATCGCTTGCGCGACATCCTCGAACACGCGCAAGGGCCGGACCAAGTAGGCTTCAGGCCGAACCACTCGGTCGATGACGCGTTCCTGGTCTTCGAAGTGGCATGCAGCAAATGCATAGAATGGCAAGTGCCGCTGTGGTGCGCCAGTTTGGATTTGACCAAAGCATTTGATCGGATTGAGTACGGCCCTCTCATTAATGCCCTCCGGCGCCAAGGCCTTGATGAAGACTACACTGCCTTGCTGGCGAGGCTGTATTCTGGACAGATGGGCAGCGTGTCGGGCGCGCAAGCTTTTCGCATCCAGCGGGGGGTCAAATCAGCCCGATGCTGTTCAACGCTGGTTTGGAGTTGGCAATGGAGAGATGGAAAATCCGCATTGGTCACGCCGGGTTGTTCATAGGAGCGGGCGAAAAACTCACGAACATACGTTACGCTGATGACATCATGTTGTACGCGAGTTCTGCCGACGAGCTGGCCGCCATGATGGAAATTCTTATTGAGGAGCTTGACACAGTTGGTCTCCAGCTAAATCCGGAGAAGACACAGATTCTTACCACGGAGGAGGGGATGGAGACTATGTTCATTGGGATTGGCGAGCACATGCTGAAAGTCATGGGAGGCAATGATGTCCACAAGTATTTGGGAAAAAGTATACCCGGGAGTTTGAAACGTCGTAACGATATCGAGTTGGGTCGACGATTCCAGCGAGCTTGGCACAAATTTCATGAACACCGTCATGTTCTCACAGACCAGAACGTATCCGTAAGACTGCGGCTGAAGCTTTTCCAATCAGTCATTACACCTACATTGTTGTTCGGACTATCGGCTGCGGCGTTGACCAAGCATCAAACGCAATCCCTGGACGTCCTTCAGAATAAGATGCTTCGCTTGGTTGTTGGTTGGAGGCGTTGCGAGGGCGAGGACTGGGCAGACACCATGAGACGCATGAGGGACAGAATCGCCAATGCAATGCAGATCTTTCCGATTGAAAAATGGAGTGAATTGCATTACCGCCGCCTGTTCAGATTCGCGTGCAGGTCAGCATGCTCGGACACGGAATGGACTCAGAAAGTCATTATATGGAACCCGCGCTACACGCATGGGGCTACGAGGGCGCGCGGGCGCCCTCCGACGAGATGGGACGGCCGCCTCCAAGGATTCGCCCGCGATGTCTTGCATAATGTATCTCGCTGGTATGACAGTGTACACGATGGTGACGAGGACGCATTCGTCGAGTATTGCATTCACGCGTGAGGACCGCCCCCGTTCTCTTTTCTTTCCTCCCCCCCCCCCTCGGAGGCACAACGTTTGCTCTCCGTTTACGCACGTGTGCGCTCAGGCCACTGTGCTGGAGCCTCGCCCGTCTACGGGCCAACCCATGTGGTTTGACCGGGCCTCTGTCTGTCTGTCTGTCTGTCTCCCAACGAGGCACTTCCATCCGTGGAAATGAGATCCTTGTGTCGGGGCCCATGGAAAAGGGAACTTGGCGGGAGGGATCAGTCTAACACCGTTGATGAATATTGGGTTTACACTGGCCCTCCCTCCTCATCTTCCTCCTCCTCATCCTTCTTTTCCTCCTCCTCCTCCTCCGCCTCCTCCTCCTCCTCGTGCTCCCCCCCCGGCCGTCACCTCGTGCTCCTCCTCGTGCTCCTCCTCGTCGTGCTCCACCTTACGTAGTGGTGCAGCAACTCTGTCACGCGTCTTCCTGACAAGGCCACTCAGCAAGGGTCGGCCCCCCCTCGCGGCAGCGCACGACACCCCAGCGGGAGCGAGCGGCAGCTACGGCACCGACGGCGGCAACGACGGCGGCCACGACGGCGGCGACCGCGCACGCGCACGCCAAGGGTTCTCGGAGACCGCTGGCGGAGGTGCTCGGCGATCGCAGCCATGGGCGCGGCTGCCTGGCCCGCCCGGCCCCCTGCCAGAGAGAGGAAAGGAGGGAGAGCCCAAAAAACCTCGGGAGGGCCCATCCTGGAAAGCTTATCCTAAGCCTCTTGGGCCGTACTGGGGGCCCTTTGGGATGTCTTGAAGCCGTCATGGGCCGTCAGGGTACTGTTTGGGAGACACCTGCGGCCGTCCGGAAGCCAAATTGTCCCGTTTTGGACTTCATCGGAGCCTCTTGGAACTCATGAAGCTTCCTCCGCGACTGCCTACCAGCACGCCCCAAACCAACCCATAGACCCAAATTTCGGATTGGGGGGGCACGGGTCCCACGCGAGTTGTTCAACGTTTTTTGGTGTCCCCTCCCCCCCCCCCCCCTGCGGGGAACGCAAAGCAAATTGGGGCTTACGGGCTGGGTTGGGGCGGTTTGGTGTGCGGTGACTTTCAGGCGGGGTGGGTGCGAATGCCCCGGCGGGAAGGCCCCGGGGCAGAAGTTGACGCGGGCCAGGGCCCACGGGGCCAGATTTTGCGCATGTGAAAACTCCTCCCTGCATCCATCCATCGGCCCCCTCCCCTCCCCTCCCTTTTTGCGCAGCCGCGCTATGCGTATGAGAGATGGCAAATCCCACCCGTCCAAAGAACGACACGCCGCCAAACGGTGCCCACTCCCATGGGGGAGGGAATGCGCCAACCAGAGCCTTGAGATTCGCCCCTTGGCTGGGTCCGTGGCCGAGTTTCCGGCAGGGGTCCCTCATGGCCTCTGGACGTCTCGAAATTCGAAGCCTCTGGAGGCCCAAAACCTGAATCGTCGAACATCGACTCTCCTCCTCCTCCTCCTCCTCCTCCTCCTCCTCCTCCTCCTCCTCCTCCTCCTCCTCCTCCTCCTCTCTTCCTCCTCCTCCTCCTCCTCCTCCTCCTCCTCCTCCTCCTCCTCCTCTTCTTTTTCATATTCCTCCTCTTCCTCCTCCTCGTCCTCCTCGTTTCGCTCGGGGCAGGCGAGCGATTCGGGCTTCATGCACATGCGACTGCGAATTAAATGCGCGCGCCATCACAGCAAACGGGCATTGTGCACGACCTCCTCAACAAGGGCACTGGCTGCTCCACCCGATAGTCTGGAGAGACGGGTGGAAAAGACGGACTTGCGGTCAAAACTGGCTTCGAACGTTTCCTTCATCAATGGGCCTGCCAGGCGCGTGACCCAGGTGTCGGCATGGTGCCGCCTCCGCCCGATGTGGCAGAGCGCTGTTGTCTTGCATGTTTCCCAACCATCCTGTGGTGTTGGGTCCTCGTTTTGAAGAGACGGTGCCCCGCGTTCTCCTTCCTTCCTTCCTTCCTTCCTCCCGCTGCCTCCTCCCCCTCCTCCTCCCTCCTCCCCCTCTTCCCTGCGTTTCACCCCCCCAGTACACCGTTTCGTGGCCCCATAGGAGCTCCGCCGAAGGCCCCAGTGCTGCCGCCCGCATGCGTCCCCCACACCCAATTCGGCACACCCCTCACACGTTTCGTGGCCCCATAGGAGCTCCGCCGAAGGCCCCAGTGCTGCCGCCCGCATGCGTCACCCACACCCAATTCGGCACACCCCTCACACGTTTCGTGGCCCCATAGGAGCTCCGCCGAAGGCCCCAGTGCTGCCGCCCGCATGCGTCCCCCACACCCAATTCGGCACACCCCTCACACGTTTCGTGGCCCCATAGGAGCTCCGCCGAAGGCCCCAGTGCTGCCGCCCGCATGCGTCCCCCACACCCAATTCGGCACACCCCTCACACGTTTCGTGGCCCCATAGGGAGCTCCACCGAAGGCCCCAGTGCTGCCGCCCGCATGCGTCCCGCACACCCAATTCGGCACACCCCTCACACGTTTCGTGGCCCCATAGGAGCTCCACCGAAGGCCCCAGTGCTGCCGCCCGCATGCGTCCCCCACACCCAATTCGGCACACCCCTCACACGTTTCGTGGCCCCATAGGGAGCTCCACCGAAGGCCCCAGTGCTGCCGCCCGCATGCGTCCCCACACCCATTTCGGCACACCCCTCACACGTTTCGTGGCCCCATAGGGAGCTCCACCGAAGGCCCCAGTGCTGCCGCCCGCATGCGTCCCGCACACCCAATTCGGCACACCCCTCACACGTTTTCGTGGCCCCATAGGAGCTCCGCCGAAGGCCCCAGTGCTGCCGCCCGCATGCGTCCCGCACACCCATTCGGCACACCCCTCACACTTTTCGTGGCCCCATAGGAGCTCCGCCGAAGGCCCCAGTGCTGCCGCCCGCATGCGTCCCGCACACCCAATTCGGCACACCCCTCACGTTCGTGGCCCCATAGGAGCTCCGCCGAAGGCCCAGTGCTGCCGCCCGCATGCGACACCCAATTCGGCACACCCACACGACAGGGAGCTCCGCCGAATGCGTCACGCACACCCAACACACACTCCGCCGAAGGCCCCAGTTTCGTGGCCCCATAGGGAGCTGCTGCCGCCCGCAACACCCAATTCGGCACACCCTCACACGTTTCGTGGCCCCATAGGGAGCTCCGCCGAAGGCCCCAGTGCTGCCGCCCGCATGCGTCACGCACACCCAAGTCGGCACACCCCTCACACGTTTCGTGGCCCCATAGGGAGCTCCGCCGAAGGCCCCAGTGCTGCCGCCCGCATGCGTCACGCACACCCAATTCGGCACACCCCTCACACGTTTCGTGGCCCCATAGGGAGCTCCACCGAAGGCCCCAGTGCTGCCGCCCGCATGCGTCACGCACGCCCAATTCGGCACACCCCTCACACGTTTCGTGGCCCCATAGGGAGCTCCGCCGAAGGCCCCAGTGCTGCCGCCCGCATGCGTCCCGCACACCCAATTCGGCACACCCCTCACACGTTTCGTGGCCCCATAGGGAGCTCCGCCGAAGGCCCCAGTGCTGCCGCCCGCATGCGTCACGCACACCCAATTCGGCACACCCCTCACACGTTTCGTGGCCCCAAAGGGGGCTCCACCGAAGGTCCCGGCGGGTGTGCCCGCATGCGTCCCGCACATTTATTTCGGCACACCCCTCACACGCTTCGTGGCCCCATAGGGAGCTCCGCCGAAGGCCCCAGTGCTGCCGCCCGCATGCGTCCCGCACACCTATTTCGGCACACCCCTCACGCGTTTCGTGGCCCCACAGGGAGCTCCGCCGAAGGTCCCATGCGGCACACCCCTCGGCATTCACACGCTTCGTGGCCCCATAGGGAGCTCCACCGAAGGCCCCAGTGGGTGTGCCCGCATGCGTCCCGCACACCCATTTCGGCACACCCCTCACACGTTTCGTGGCCCCATAGGGAGCTCCACCGAAGGTCCCAGTGGGTGTGCCCGCATGCGTCCCGCACACCCTATTTCGGCACACCCCTCACACGCTTTGTGGCCCCATAGGGAGCTCCACCGAAGGTCCCAGTGGGTGTGCCCGCATGCGTCCCGCACACCCATTTCGGCATGCTCTTCACACGTTTCGTGCCGAAGGCCCCAGTGGGTGTGCCCGCATGCGTCCCGCACACCCATTTCGGCACACCCCTCACGCGTTTCGTGACCCCTCACACGTTTCGTGGTCCCATAGGGAGCTCCACCGAAGGCCCCAGCGGGTGCGCCCGCATGCGCCCCGCACACCCAATTCGGCACACCCCTCGCACGTTTCGTGGCCCCGCAGGGGGCTCCACCGAAGGTCCCAGTGGGTGTGCCCACATGCGTCCCGCACACCCATTTCGGCACACCCCTCACACGCTTCGTGGCCACATAGGGAGCTCCACCGAAGGTCCCAGTGGGTGTGCCCGCACGCGTCCCGCGCACCCATTTCGGCACACCCCTCACACGTTTCGTGGCCCCATAGGGAGCGCCACCGAAGAAGAAATTCACAATTGCGGTATTCACAATTGCATATGGTTGGGTCCTTCGCCAGAATAATTTTCAGCGCCTCGTTCGAAGAAGACGGTCGCGCTGTCCCCGGGGAGCTGCAGGAAATGCTCCAGTACAACACGCCGACCGTGATGAGTTGTCCTCCATGTGCACAATCACGCACGTGCGCGTTCCGAACCACTGCATACACACAGGGCAATGGTCGGCGCCGGTGAAAGCACCCATGTTCCTGCACACTCCACGCACAATTAAAGCATAGGTGGCCAAATGTTGACGCGTATTGCACGTGCACACACACACACACGCAACTCTGGCATCTATACTCGGCGTCCACGTCGGCCATGCGGCGGGTCCGCGCCCAAGCCTGCACATAAATTACCGCCCTCTCCCCCTTCGTTTTTTCCGAAGGCCGCGCGGAATCGTCTGAGACTGTCGCGGGCGACAAAAGTCCACTCAGCAACCGTTTTCCGCCCCGGCGCAGAGGAAACACCAACGTGTTCAGACAACATGTCGAAGTCTTCGGTCAAGGCCGCACTCCATAAGCGACAAACGCCTACTGTGCGGGAAGACAAAACGCAAAGCGTTAGCGTGCCATTCAAGCATACTCTTCTGCACAAGCAATGCCTCATGTACAATCTAAATACGGATGGGGCTATGCAATCATCATGAGACGAAACAGCAACGTGGGAGGGGGCACGGACACCGTCCCGGCTAGACTGGGAAATGCTGGAACAGACTTTCATTACGGCAGTGTGTACGCGCGAGTAAACCCACTGGCGTGGAGCCGTGGCCAAGTTCCAGCCTGATGCAAGCCCCGTGTGCAACAGGATGATGCCCTGGCACGCCGCCATCCGCATCTCAGATTCCTGGTGCAAGATGCCGCGGCGAATCTGCTTGAAGGTCGAGGGCATAGCCCGAGTACTGGCGATGATTTCCGGCTGCACGGCGGCCGTAGAACACGTCAAAGTCCCCGCGCGTTTGGAGCGGGGCGCCGCCACGAGCCGGCCGCGCGCCCCAAGCGAAGAGAAAACAATGTTGCCATCACCTGTCGGAACAGGAGAATTCGCAGCATTTTGCCGGGATATTGATCATCCCTGCATTATGTTCCAATACTGTCTCGACATCAGGTGGCTCCGCAGAAACCATGGCGAGGA